GAAGGCCAGCGTGTGTCCCGGGCCCCGGGGTTCACCATCCGTGCCCCATAGCCATGCCTGGGGCTGCGGCACGCACGGACTCTGAGGACTCCCAACTCCAGGGGCACCTGGCTGGCTCAGTCAGTAGAACATGTAACTCTTGATCTCGGGGTCATGAGTTCAAGCCCCACGTTGGGCATGGAGCCTACTTAAAAAAATAAAAATAAAGGGGCGCCTGGGCGGCTTAGTCAGTTAAGCGTCCGACTTTCGCCCAAGTCATGATCTCGCGGTTCGTGGGTTCGAGCCCTGCGTCGGGCCCTGTGCTGACTGCCAGCTCAGAGCCTGGAGCCTGTTTCAGTCTGTGACTCCCTCTCTCTCTGACCCTCCCCTGCTCACGCTGTCTCTCTCTCTCTCCTAGAAATAAAAAAATAAATAAATAAATAAAAAATAAAAATAAATAAAAGAACAAATACTGTAAGATTCCATTCACATGCTGTCCCTAGTATATTCAAATTCACAGAGACGGAAAGAAGAGTGGGTGTCAGAGGCTGGGGGGTGGTGAGGGTTAGTGTTTGATGGGGACAGTTTCAGGCTGGGAGACGAAAGTGTTCCAGGGACGGGGGTGGGGACCGGGGCATGACAGTGTGAATATGCTTGATGCCGCTCAGGGGGGCACCTCACAGGGCGTCAGCGCCCCCGTGGCTCGGCTGTGCAGAGGGGGAAATGTGGCCATGACATGACCCCCCAGCCCCCACCGGGGCCCCTGCCACATGGGCTTCGTGAGCAAGAACCCCCAGCCTCCCCTTTGGGGAAACTGACCCACCAGAAAGAGTAGAAGTGTACACTCCCTGCACTGTTCTCATCTGCTAACCAGAGACCCTGTGCTTTACCTTCGTTATTAAAAACAGAAAAAAAGGGCCCCTGGGGGCTCCGCTGGTTAAGCATCCGACTCTTGATTTTGACTCAGGTCACGATCTCACAGTTTGTGGGATCGAGCCCTGCATCAGGCTCTGTGACGACAGCAAGGAGTTGGCTTGGGATTCTCTCTCTCCCCACCCCACCTCCCCTCCCCTGCTCACGTGCTCTCTCAAAAGTAAAATAAACATTTGAAAAAACTTAAAAACAATTCTCTCTCCCTTTCTCTTTGTCCCTCCCTAACTTGGATTCTGTCTCTCAAAAATAAAAGACATAAATAAATAATTTTTTTTTAATTTTTTTTTTTTTTATTTATTTCTAGGAGAGAGGGAGAGAGAGAGAGAGAGAGACAGTGTGAGCAGGGGAGGGTCAGAGAGAGAAGGAGTCACAGACTGAAACAGGCTCCAGGCTCTGAGCTGGCAGTCAGCACAGAGGCCGACACGGGGCCCGAACCCACGAACCGCGAGATCATGACCCAAGCGAAAGTCGGACGCCCAACCGACTAAGCCACCCAGGCGCCCCAATAAATAAATATTTTTAAAATTTAAAAAAACAACAGAAAAAGCAGGGATGCCTGGCTAGGTCAGTCAGTGGAGCATGCAACTCTTTTTTTTTTATTTTTAATTTATTTTGAGAAAGAATGTGTGCATGAGTGAGCAGGGGAGGGGCAGAGAGACGGAGAGAGAGAATCCCAAGTAAGCTCTGTGCTATCAGTGTGGAGCCCAACTTGGGGCTTGAACTCATGAACCATGAGATCATGACCTGAGCTGAAACCAAGAGTCAGATGCTCAACTGACTGAGCCCCCAGGCGCCCCAGCCTGCAACTCTTGATGTTGGGGTTGTCAGTTCCAGCTGTGTGCCGACAGCTGGGAGCCTGGAGCTGCTTTGTATTCTGTGTCTCCCTCTCTCTCTGCCGCTCCCCTGCTCACACCCTGTCGTTCTCTCTCTCTCTGCTCCTTCCCCTCAGTCACTCAAAAATAAATAAACATTAAAAAAAATTATTGGGGTGCCTGGGTGGCTCAGTTGGTTGAGCGTCTGACTTCGGCTAAGGTCATGATCTCACGGTTCGTGGGTTCGAGCCCCACGTCGGGCTCTGTGCTGACAGCTCAGAGCCTGGAGCCTGTTTCGGATTCTGTGTCTCCTTCTCTCTCTGACCCTCCCCTGCTCACGCTGTGTGTGTGTGTCTTTCTCTCTCAGAAAAAAATAAAAACATTAAAAAAAATTAAAACACATCAACAAACAAGAACACAAAACACCAATGCCTATAAACAGTACCTAACACACAGGGGGGAAAAAGACTCAATTTTATTTTACGTTTTAACTCAGAAAACAGAAACATTAAATATATCAGAGACATTTTCAGGGAAAAGTTGTATATGTCTCTGAGCTAATCTTCATTCTATAAATATTTAAAGTCCACAAAATATACTTTATTTGAATATGGTTATGACAGAAAATCATTTTTTTTTAAGCTTACTTGAGAGAGACTGCAAACAGGGAAATGACAGAGAGAGGGAGAGAGAGGATCTCAAGCAGACTCCGTACAGAGCCCGATGTGAGGCTTGAACTCATGAACCACGAGATCATGACCTGAGCAGAAATCAAGAGTCGGCGCCTAACTAACTGAGCCCCCCAGGCCCTGATGGCCTCTGGCTTCTGATCGCTGCCTCCCCACTGCCTGTGCCCAGAGCTCATGTGAATAAGTTTCTGCTCCTCGAAACCTCCAGACACTTACCTTTAGGAGCCACGAGCATGCCAAGAAGAGCCGCCGCTGGTGAGAGCTCTTACATGGTGTAAATACCACATAAATACTTGCGCCGGGTCACCAGCCGCCAGCTGGACAGCGGGGGACCAGGAAACAAGCTTTCTGGAACACGAGGGCAACTAAACCCTGAGACAACACATCCCCACGTCTCGGAGTCTGAGTCAGGAAACACCTGTATTTGAAGAGGCCTCTTACCAACAGCACACGCGTCTGGCTGTTCGACGGTCCCACGGGTTACAAAATACGAGGGGTTTTCAAACTCTCCCTCCGCCTTCGCGCAGAATAACCTACAACAACATGCTTTAACGGTCTGTTGTACCTTCACTACCCACTGGGACTCACTTTCCTGAAAAACCTTTCAGATGACCCACTTGTTTTTTGCTGTTACTATGGAAAGTTACCCTTGGAATCTTTAAGAATTGATGTATAGGGGTGCCTGGGTGGCTCAGTGAGTTGAGCATCTGACTTCAGCTCTGGTCATGATCTCACCACTCATGAGTTCGAGCCCCACGTCGGGCTCTGTGCTGACAGCTCAGAGCCTGGAGTCTGCTTCCAACTCTGCGTCTCCTTTTCTCTTTGCCCCTCCCCTGTTCATTCTCTCTTTCTCACTCTCTGGGTCTCAAAAATAAAATAAACATTAAAAAAAATTAAAAAATAATTTAAAACATTAAAAAAACTAATGTGCAGTGGCTCCTGGGTGGCTTAGTCGGTTAAGCGTCCGACTTTCGCTTAGGTCATGATCTCGCGGTTCGTGGGTTCGAGCCCCGCGTCGGGCTCTGTGCTGACTGCCAGCTCAGAGCCTGGAGCCTGTTTCAGAGTCTGTGACTCCCTCTCTCTCTGACCCTCCCCTGCTCACCCTCTCTCTCTCTCTCTCTCCTAGAAATAAAAATATTTTAAAAAAAATGTGCAAAAAGAATTCATAACATTACCACTACAAGTTGCTGTTTATTCCAGTGTCCCATATTTAGGACAAAGGTGATCTTCAAATAACTTGAAAGGAAGAGCTCACGGGGACCCTGATCCTGCCGGCAACAGGCTGACAATCCCAGCGGAGCAGAGGGGTGGGGTGAGGAAACGACTGGGGGTGGTTCCGTGAAACCCCAGGTTCCGGGTTCCATCCTTGCTGTTTGGTGCGTGCACTCCACCCCACGGGGACCTCTGTCAACAGAAAGCTGGAGAACAGGGCAGGGAGCCTGAGTGCCGGGCAGCGCTCCCTGGGAGGCATGGCATGGGCAGCGCCAGCTCTCCTGGGCATACAGGAGGCCGACAAGGCTCTCACATGCACCCCCACTCTCCACGGGGCCCATAAGGCCTCCCCGGCAGGGGGCCTGGGGGTGGGACATGCTTCCTCTGCTTTCTGCATTTTCTCCATGCAAACCGTCTTTGCTGGCAGCAGTTTAGAACCACAGAGGACACCGAGGCTTCAGACTGTGTTCCCTGCCTCAGTCTGCACCACAGGCTGTCTGCCAAGTGGCTTTGGTTAATTCCGGAACCCCATCTGGCCCTGGTGCACATGTGCCCTAATGCAGCCCTGCTCTGAAGGCCACTTCCCGGTTGCCACGGCAGGTGCCCCCGTGCAGGCCGTGACTCCCCCCCACAGGGCTCCAGGCCCCTGCAGGCCGTGGCTTCCCCCCCCTCCGACAGGGCTCCAGGCCCCTGCAGGCCGTGGCTTCCCCCCACAGGGCTCCAGGCCCCTGCAGGCCGTGGCTCCCCCCCCACCCCCGACAGGGCTCCAGGCCCCTGCAGGCCGTGGCTCCCCGACGCACAGGGCTCCAGGATAGAAGACAAAGAGAGCCTTGGCACTTTATAAAATGTACCCTTACTTCCTAGTAAACTCTGCCCTCAGCGTGGGGCTCAAACTCACAACCCCAATAACAAGAGTCACATGCTCTACAGACTGAGCCCACTGGGTGTCTGTAGAGCGGTCCTATTTTAAATAATGCCGATTTTATTTTTATTTTATTTTTTTAAAATAATGCCAATTAAAAATGATCTGAAAAACAGAGATGTGGTCCAGCAAGCAGGACGTTCAGGAAAAGTTTGAAAACAAAGCTCCACCTCTTGCAGGAAACGGAGGAATATTCTCCGAAGGTGCCTTTGCCGTCACCTGCCGTCTCCCTGGGCCAGAAGCTGCACCTGCTGTCAGGTCCGCAGGCACGAGTGTCCCAGGACCGCTCGGGTCACCAGTGCTGACGGGGGCACCCGGCGCTGGTCACGGGAGGGCAGGGCGTGGCTTCCAAATCACTCCCGCCCGCGGACTCAAATTTGCAGACCAAGTACACTAATATTTTTTTATGTTATTCCATTTCAAATTGGTAGAATTCAAAACACAGAACACAGGTGCACAGTGCCTGGGTTTTATTTAGTATCATGTCCGTGAGCCAGGGCCGGCTTGGGATCCACAGCCGGGAGAGGCCCGGGGCCTGCAGCCCACCAGGACCCCGTTCTCCCAGGGCACCCTGTCCCGACATAAGTCAGGGGCCCCCAGGAGGAAGGTGCGGAATCAGGTCACTTACAGGTTTAGGGCCCTTGGAAAATGAACTCGCAAAGCAGCTGCTTCCCGCGGGAACCGGGACACCAGCGCGTAGGTCAAGGTGGGCTCCTAAGCGCTGCTCTTCCCTTGCTGTGGCCTCAGCTTGTTCCAAAGCCTCTCCAGGGCCACTTTTCCCATGAAGAAGGTGATGGCAAAATTGCGCCTGTACCAGTCTCTGCGGAGAAGCAGGCCAAGCATGTGTGACGCCCCAGGGACTGAGGACCAGCACCCCGGCTTCCGAGGGGAGCTCCCAGCTGAGAGGCAAGTCCTCCTGACTATCCCCCACCTTTCCTCACCACCTCTTCCTTTTTCTGCCCTCATTAAATCTACACTGTCCCTAAAAGCCTCCGCTCCTTCCGCCTGGATGTTCATCAGGGCGAGAATAAGGCCCAGGAAGCGCACGGCCAGTGCAGCCCAACCCCCACCTTGCCCACGCCGCTACAGCCCTTCTCCTGTTTTCGCTACAAGACTCCAGAAGAGGAGTCTGGGGCCTCAGGAGTCCAGGACTGTTCCGGCGGAGACACAGCTGCTGAGTGATGGGGGCCCAACCGCTGGGCGAACACAGGCAGGACCCCGTGGGGACAGTCCTGGTTTGGGGCCTTGTTCGCGTGAGAAGCGCATGGCAACATACTCCATCCAGAGAAGTTACTCTATCACAAGTGCCGATGACAGAAAGCTCCAGATCCTCTTTCTGTAGCTGATCAGGGCTTCTGTGCCTCGAAGTGGATAATTCCAGGACTTCCCCTGAATACTGGGATGGACTGCACCAACGTGGGCTCACTCGTCCATGAGTTACTGTACAAAGCTTGCAAATTCACCCCACTGCTGAATGGGCAAAGCTTGGGAAGTTTCCACGACAGAACGCACACATTCCAGGCTCTAAGTGCTAAGCCCTTGGAAGCTGAAATGTCGATAAGTACCAATGCTTTTCAGCCAAACGAACTAACGAGTGAACATGGAACTTCTCTTCCTGACCGGACTCCTATGACTTACCGGGTCCAGTACAAAAGGAAGCAAAATGACCACGGGCTCAAAAGGAACGAGAGCAAGAGGTAAAGATACTGGTTCTCTGGAGTCTCTGGGTTGGCTGAGCAGACGACCACCCCCCTCGTGAGAACCATCTTATGCTTCTGTCCACTCACATGATGCTATAAATGGGAAGTGTGCCCTAAATAAACAAGGCTTCCAGGAAAAGAAAACCAGTGCTCCATCGAGATTAAAGTTCTCTGGTTACTAAGGAGAAGCTAGATTCCAACCCACCGACACTCTGACAAAACGTAGGGAAACGAAACTCTCCCTGTTTCCACGGGGGCAGGAGGCGGCATGGGTACGGAAGGGGCACTGAGCTCCTCGACACCCGACCTTGGGTGGGACTGGCCCCTCTCCTCTGAGCTCCGCACGGCACATGGGCTCTGGGCCCACATCACACCTCACACTGGCCTGACGGAATCTCCTAGCCGACTTGTGCTGTGGGACTCCTCTTGAGCTTGCCCACCCTCACCCACCATCCTCTAGATCTTACCTGTCCTGCTGACGGACACTGGCACTGTCACCTTCTATTTTATTAAGTTTATTTTTATTTATTTTGAGAGAGAGTAAGTGGGGGAGGAGCGCAGAGCAAGGGAGAGAGAGGAATCCCAAGCAGGCTCTGCGCTGTCAGCACAGACCAGATGTGGGGCTCAAACTCACCAATGGTAAGATCATGCTCTGAGCCAAAACGAAGGCTCAAGGAGGCTTAACGACTGAGCCACCCAGGCGCCCCCACTCCATATACCCTTTCCATACTTCCTGCGACCTGGTATTGCAACGGAGACCCCATGGAGGCATGACTAGACCCCATGCCTCACAGGTGGCCCTGGGACCTCCTCCCACATCCCACGGGGGCAGCTGGCCCAGCGTGTGCGGCAAGGCGACCCCGGTACAGGGGCATCACGCCGCCCGCTCCCCTGCCCGCTGGTTTCAGCGCCGTGGGTGACTGCTGCCCACACCCACTGTTTCACCGAGGAAACGTTACTTCTCCAACTCCCACCCCTGCTGCTTTAGCTGCCGTCCTTCTACGAAGACAAATGCTCCTTCGTGTGGTTCCCCTGAAATACAGTCGATGCAGGAAAGGGCTGAACTCTCTGGGCTCTTTTATATATCAACGTGCAGGACGAGTCACTTGCCTCGCAGGCTGCAGAGGGGACTGCACTTCTCGGCACCGTTATGACGGCAAAGGTCTCTGCAGACCTGATACACTGTTAATCCACTGCACTCATTTCCTTTGTGTGGCAGAAACGACCTCATCCTTAGCCTGTGGGAGCCCCCCAAGGAGGCTCCTGTGCTGTTCTCCCGTGACCCCGCTGGTCTCTGAGCCTCCTCTGTGACTCCAGGTGTCTTACCCCATCGTGTGCTGTTCCTACCGCAGACCTGCTTCTCTAAGGAGCCCAGGTTCCCTTCAGTGGGAAGTGGTGCTTAGAACCCACTGTCCAGGGGGCACCTGGGTGGCTCAGGCGGTGAAGTGTCCCAACTTTTGATTTCCGCTCAGGTCATGATCCCAGGGTCGTGGGATCCAGTCCTGCGTTGGGCTCCCTGCTGGGCATGGAGCCTGCTTAAGATTCTCTCTCTTCCCCCACTGCCACTCTCCCCAGCTCACATTCTCAATAAACAAACACATAAACAAACAAATTAAATAAAAAAAAATATAAAATAAATTTTTAAAGAAGAACGCGCTGTCTGAGCACTAGGGTGCAAACTGTTATGGGGTGGCCACGCAAATTGCTGTAAGCTGTCAATTTTATTTAAAAGTATAAAAACTAAGTTTTAACAACATCTGCCTTTAACATAAACATCAATGTCACTGAATTCTGATAAGAAAATAATCCTACCCAGTATGGATACGATATTCAAAAATGTAGGAAAAAAAGTAAGCACTTACCTGTTATAATACATGTGTTTCTGAAAATTTTTACTTAAAAATTCCTTGTAAAAGTCAGCCATTTCTTCTGCGTCTAATGTTGCTTTTTGACCTGAAAATTAACGCAAGTTAAACATTAAGATGTAAGAGGAAGAGATCCACAAACCACTACTGATCTAATAAAGGAGGTCAGCAAGATCAAAATACAAACATCAACTGTATCTTTCTAAACACTAGCAATAAACAATCCAAAAATGAAATTAAGAAAACAATTTCTGAGGCGTCTGCATGGCTCAGTCAGTAGAGCATACAACTCTTTATCTAGGGGTCATGAGTTCAAGCCCCTCGCTGCACACAGAGTTTACTTAATAAAAATATACGTATATTAAAAAATAATAATTCCATTTACAATGTTATCAAAAATAAAAAACAGGAATAAATTTGAGAAGAAGTGTAAGACTTACACACTGAAAACTACAAAGCGCAGATGAAAGGAATAAAAGAAAGCCCGAATAGATGGAAAAACACTCCACATTCATGGTGTTAAAGGCTGGAGACCGCCGAGACTACACCCCAAGCTGGCACACAGACTCAGTACAGTCCCCAGCAAAACCCCAGCTGGCTTTTTGGCAGAAACTGAAAAGCAGATCCTAAAATTCATGTGAAAATGCAAGGAAACACAGCAGCGAACACAATCTTGAAAAAGAACAGGAGCGGCTGGGTGGTTCAATCGGGTAGGTGTCCGACTTCGGCTCAGGTCGTGATCTCGTGGTTCAGGAGTTCCAGCCCCACATCGGGCTCTGTGCTGACAGTGTGGAGTCTGCTTGGGATTCTCTGTCCCCCTCTCTCTGGCCCCCCGTGTGTGTGCATGTTTACATTCTCGCTCTCTCTCTCTCTCAAAAATAAACGTTTTTTTAAAAATGTTTTTAATTTAAAAAAAAAGAAAAAAGAAAAGTGGCACCTGGGTGGCTCAGTCGGTTAAACACCCAACTTCAGCTCAAGTCATGATCTCACAGTTGATGAGTTCAAGCCCTACATCGGGCTCTGTGCTGTCAGCGCATGGGGCCTGCTTGTGATCCCCTGGCCCCCTCTCCTGCCCCTGCCTCACTTGCACTCTCTAATAAATATTTAAAAAACAAAACAAGAAGAACACAGTTGGAGGACTCACTTCTCAATTTCTAAACTTACTACAAAGTTACAGTAATTAGGATGGTGTGGTAACACCCACTTAACTCATGGGTTAAGTGTCCGACTTGATTTTGGCTCAGGTTCGTGACATCAAGCTTTGCGTCAGGCTCTGCACTGTTAGATGCTTGGGATTCTTTCACTCCCTCCCTCCCTCAAAATAAATAAATAAAAATTTAAAAATACATATTATTTAAAAAAAAAAAGAACTCAAGAGTCCAGAAATGAACCCAAACATTTATGAGCAAATGATCTTCAATGAAGGTGACAAGAAAATTCAATGGGGGAAGAATAGCCTTTTCAACAAATGGTGCTAGACAGCTGGAGACCCACGTGCAAAAGTATAAAGTTGAATCCCTACCTCACACCAGCACAAATACAACCTCAAAAATGGCCAAAGACCTAAATGTGAGAACTAAATTAAAAAACTCTTAGAAGAATACAGAAGCAAATCTTCATGTCCTTGAACTAGGTCATGCAATTTATGTATGACACCTAACACACAAAGAGAAAATAGATGAGTTGGACTTCATCAAAATTAAACACTTTTGTGCTTCAAAGGGCACCACTGAGAAAGTGAAGGGGCAACCTATAGACTGGGAAAAAAATATTTGCAAATCACCCACCTAATATAGGCCTCACATCCAGAATATGCAGAAAATGCTTAAAACACAACAAGAAAAAGAGAATAACCCATTTCAAAAACGGGCATAGGAGGGGCGCCTGGGTGGATTATTCAGTTAAGCGTCCAACTTTGGCTTAGATCGTGATCTCACGGTTCGTGGGTTTGAGCCCCGCGTCGGGCTCTGTGCTGACAGCTCAGAGCCTGGAGCCTGTCTTCCCATTCTGTGTCTCCCTCTCTCTCTGCCCCTCCCCTGCTTGTGCTCCGTCTCTCTCCTTCTCTATCAAAAATAAATAAACACTGAAAGAATGTTTTCAATGTGAATTTTTGGTATCTGAATTCTCTCCCAGAAAAGAAAACAGGCTGAGGGAGAAAATGACCCCCCTGTAACATCACACCCGGACAGTCCCCATGCTCATTTTCTTGACGCCTAAGGCAAGCTTGGTGTGTGTCCCCCAATACCCATCCCGCGATACGCTTCGTCACGTCCACTCAAATGCCTTCCGAAGCATCTAACAAGAAATGTGCGCGGCCCCTGTGAGGGAATGGACTGCTTCCTAACTCGATGCATCCTGGCTCAGCAGCCCACCCACCCACGCCGCCTGGCCTGGGTAGATACTGGCCTGACCAGTCCATCCCTGAGTCAGCGAGCACACACTCAACCAGGTAACACACCCAGTGCTGGTGGGGACCGGTGACACACAGGGACTAACGCGGCCACCTCCACGGTCCCCCTCGTGTGGTGGGAGATGCCACTCACAGCGCCCGCCCTCAGGGCTCCCCAGACCTCCCAGGGCAGGAACCAGCCTGGCGAGAGAAACGCGGCCAGAGCGCGGCCCACAGGCCAGTCTCAGGACACCCAGTGATGGCTCAGAGGTGAAGGCGCTCCGGCTTTGAATCCCCACGTCCCACAGGGCGCCTGGGTGGCTCAGTCGGTTAAGCATCTGGCTTTGGCCCAGGTCATGATCTCGCGGTTCATGGGTTTGAGCCCCGCGTCGGGCTCTGTGCTGACAGCTCAGAGCCTGGAGCTGCTTCGGATTCTGTGTCTCCCTCTCTCTCTGCCCCTCCCCTGCTCACACTCTGTCTCTCTCTCTCTCTCTCAGAAATAAAAAACAAAACAAAATTAAAAAACGCTGAAGCCCCGAGTCCCAAACAGCCACTCGGATCTCTGCCCCCAGGGCTCTTACACACACAGAGGCCCGCATCCGAGCCCCTACCTCGGGTTTTGCATGCTTGCCCCTGGCAGGTGCTGTCCCCAGGCGGCCGGCCGCACGGCTGAGGTCGATGCTCCAACCCCACTGGGGTTTGGGGGAGACAGGGGCGGGGGGAAGGTAACCCAAGGGCATGTTTCCACAGAAACAGGAGGGAAGGTGCTGACCTTTGACACGTACGGCGCGGAAGCAAACACTCGGGCGCCACGGTCCAAGCGTGTGTTTGTCCGCGCACAGGGGACCTGGCTGAGGAAACAGCAGTCTTTTCCACGTGACCCAGCCTCCTGCGGCTCCTCAAATCCTCCATCTGGGGGTCCTTCCCTGATCTAGAAGATTCTCTCTCAAATCTCCCGTAGCTGCCATCTCCTCAGACAGGCCTTCTGTGAGGCCCTGTTGAAAGGCCCCCTCTGCCTCGATTCCGACGACACACCTCAGACCTGGTCTTCACGGGCCTGCCTGGCTCTGGGTCCCACCCCCACCCCACACTGGCACGTCCGCTGCCCAAGGGCAAGGCCACAGCTCTGTCTCATGCAGTCCGAGGTCCCAGGGCCTAGTCCGGCACATGGAGGGTGTCTGACAACCACAAACGGACAGACGCTAAGTGGGGCAAGGAGACAGCGAGCTGAGCTGCCCAAGGAGGGAGGGAGGCCGGCGGCTCCCAGAGGAGGTGACACGTAGGCTGGGCCTTAAAGGAGCAGAGGGGGCCCACAAGGCAGAGAAGGGAGGAAATGGGCCACAAGCCGAGGTCAGCACAGAGAGGCACAGATGTAGCTGACCAGAGCGAGCGAGGGCGAGGGTGCGCGGGGGGTGAGCGTGGTGGGGGACCAGGGAGGGGCCCCGGCTTCAGGCGGGGGGCGGGGGGGCGGCCAGGCCGCCCAGGGACTAGTGTCTTCTGATGTGTCTCGGGGGAACAGCATGTGTGCATGTCAAGTCAGCTACCAGCACACCTGTCTGCGCCCCCACGTGGGGGCCTGATGGGGTGCCCCCCGCGGCTGCGGCTCGCGGCCCCCTCACTGGCTGCCCGCCCACAGCTGCGGGTCCTCTCATCTAGAGCGTGGGTCACAGCAGCACATGTCGCGAGGCTGTGTGGAGGCAGAATGAGTGGTCCAGGCCCCGAGGATGGCCACGTGCCGTCTTCTGCTGCTGGTCTGGTTTGGTGTCTTGTCCAAACACCCCATGGGCAGCTCAGCGGAAAGCCGATGTCACTGTACGTGTGTGCTGAGTAACTCGGAGGCCTGCCTGCGGCGACACCGCAGCGGCGCTTCGGAAAAGCCAGGCTGAGAAGGTGGCAGGATACCTGGATTCATTACACGTTTACCTAGACCAGCCCCACCTCCGGGGCATACTTTCTCCCACCACATGAGCACGGACTTTAGCAACCACGGAAATTAGGGGCAAGAATCTTCCAACCGCACTGCTGCCCTGCAAATGAGACTAAATCTGGGGACAAGTAGAGCAGAAATCATGGTATTCTGCTTTTTGCACTGGAAATTCAGCAGTTTCTCTACGCTGCTGCGGAATATTCCAGTGAACACCCACCAAGTGGGCCACCCTAGCCTTACCTGTCCGTGGAGCCTCCAGGCACCTCTTCTGAACGCTTAGACGTTTGGTGGTCACAATTTCCCTGCTTCTTGGCACGTGTGCTGCCGACAGGGGCATCCTTCCGGAAAGACAGCGGGAAATGTTCTCCTGCCACTGGCCACTCGTGAGCACTGGACTGGACCATAATGCACCAGCACGGAGGGCGATTACTGAGGACACCCCGCGAGTTCAGGAAGCAAGAAATGATGGCCGGTGCTGTTCTACTACACATCGTAATCTGCGGTCACATGACTCGCCTATGGGTATCTGGTTGTTTCTACAAACCTGCTAACGCTCTTCACCTGTGCCTGTCACCTCATGTTCACGTTTATGTTCATGTTTACCCTGTTTCCTGGATGCTGACCCTTTGTCCAGCCCTCTGCCGGACACATACCAGACACTGTCCTTGCAGTTGATCACGCAACTCATGATCTTTGCGTTGTGAGTTCGAACCCCACGTTGACTGAGGGGATAGGCCACTTAAAGAAGTCCTCACTTATACAGAAGTCAGTTTGTAGGTCCTCCTGTCCTTCTGCCTTTACCGTCAGGCTTAAGGGACCATCATTCCTCCAGACAACAGAGAGGCCGTTGTGTTCTACCAGACCTTCTACAACAGGGAGCCATGTATTTAACTCTTAATCCACAGATACTTGATTTTTTAAAAAATGTTTATTTATTTATTTTGAGAGCAGGAGGAGGGGCAGAGACGGAGAGAGACAGACTCCAAGCTGTCAGCACAGAGCCTGACATGGGACTCGAACCCACGAACCATGAGATCATAACCTGAGTCGAAATCAAGAGTCTGACACTTTAACCATCTGAGCCACCCTGGTACTTTTTTTAATTAATTGACGTTTAAGAATTAGCTTTTTGATCCGTTTGGAATATATTTGTATTATAGGGGTCATGAAACTAAATGTACTCTTTTGGGTCAAAAATAGTTTCTCCGTTAACATTTACTAAACAAACTCCTCTTCCCTCAGTCTTGCAGGATCCCTCCGCTCATGGGTTAAGCACGCTCTCTGGCCCACTGAGGTGTCGTGCCTGGTACCCCCACATTTCTGTCACTGCAGCCTAGAACCTGTTTAAATAGCTGACAGAGAGGGCCCCTCCCTTCACGTGTCCTTTGCTCAATACATTCCTTCCTGTTTTATTACCAAATTCATTTAAAAATCTGATTGAAGGCCAGCCTTTCAGTTCCTAGAAATGCCAGCCAGAGAAACTTTGATATTATAACAGGACTCAAAGCCACCTTTCCCACGTGTTAAAAGAGTGGCTATCTCCAAAGCACGTCCACAGCCTCCTTGACCCTGCCCGATCTTGGTGACTGACTCATGGGGCTGGCGCGTCCCTCCCTTAGGGCTGCGGCATCTGTGACCACAGCCGAGGCCCCGCTCACTCATCAGCAGCGCCAGGACAGCACAGGGTGAGCTGAGAGCCACTGTGGCAAGGCGACATCAGACAGGCCCAGGGGACCCTAGTCACCAGGCCAGAACCTAGGCCCCTCCAGGTACTGGTTATAACCTGCCCTCAGGTTCCTCATCTCCAAAATGGTAAAAGGAGCGGGGCCTATTTCACTGATTCGTTGTGGGAAATAAAACAGATGACACGAGCAAAGGACTTGGCACAGTACCCTGCAAACAGCCAGCATCTGAAATTGGGAGCAATTATGTGGTGCCTCCTGTTAGGACTCGGCACCCTTCCCTGCTGGCTCCGCCCCACGCAGGCGCCCTGACGGAGACCCCGCAGCTGTCAGCAAACAGCAGAGCCCGTCACCGAGGCTTCCACCCTCCCAGCTCTTTACCCCAAAGGGAGCCAAGCACGGCTAAGGATTAGCAGGGAGGGGGCGGCGCTTTAGCCCAACGACAGATGTCACTTCTGGGGGCAACAGGTTCGGATTTTCCATCAGAATAACGTTTTGACAGCAGACGTCTGTTTAACAAACACTACAACATGTTATTCGGACCTAACATCAATAGCAAGGGAAAGTGATGAAAGGTCATTTTGAGCCCTAGACCTTCTATCCAAAACAGGAAAGGCAGCGCAGGAGGCAGAGAGAACGGAGTGCAGCCCAGCACCCCTGGCAGGTGAAGCACACGGCGTACGGGACACGAGATGAGAGAGGGACAGGCAGGGGCCAGGAGGCCTTCCATCCAGAGAGCACAGCTGTCACTCCGTAGTCACAAAAGTCTAGAAACCTAAGCTGAGCAACAAATGTCAAATGTGCATTTGGGGCAGGACAGTCTGGCTACACTGCAAAGAATGAGTTTGAGGCAGGAGCTGATAAATGACAGCTTGCAGGCCAATCGTCCCTGCTTTTGTAAATAAAGTTTTATTGGAACACATTCATGCCCATTAATCTATGTACTTTTCTTTTTTTTCTTTCCTTCCTTCCTTTCTTTGAGAGAGAGCGAGGGTGAAGAGCAGAGGGAGAGGGAAAGAGAGACTCTTAAGAAGGCTCCACACACAACATGGCGCCTGACTAACCCACTGAGCGACCCAGGTGCCTGTCAATGCATTTTCTATGTCTGCTTTCACACTTCAATAGCAGAGCTGAACAGCTGAAACAGACCCATCTGGCCCAGAAGGACCAGTCTATTTACTATCTAGCCTTGACAGAAAGCTTGCCCGTCCCTGATTTAAAGATTGGAAGCCAAGGAACCAATTAGAAATTTACTATAGGCACAGAATTAATAAGGGCCTAGAGACAGGGAGTGGCAAAAGCACTGAATAATGTTTAAGGTGATGCAGACAGAGAGATGGGTAGGGGCGGGGCTTTGGAGCAGACCCCGGGGCCTGCTGGGGCGTGGCCTGCGGTCAGGAATCCAGGAAGTCCAGCTGGTGCAGGACAGAGGGTGCAGAAGCCGGAGGCTACAGGATAGAAGTCCAAAGGTCAGAGGGATGATCTCACCCAAAGAGAGGAGAGAGACCGGGAGGAAGGCGGACATGCGTCACACGTGAGTGCGAGGGCCACTCAGAGCACCCATCCCCAAGGAGGTCAGACTCGTCCCCCAGCTTTTCCTCCTTCATCTGACACCCTTTCTTACTTTCTCACGCAGTTAAACACGATGTCAGGAGAAAACGGACACATGAACTTACCTGATCTGGTTCTCAGTTCCAGGCCTTTAGCTTTCAGTCGTGAGTGAATAAATTCTTCTTTCTCCTAAAAGAAGACAACTATCAGAACACTCTGTCTTCATCTTTCCATCTTTCCTTGGAGAGGACACTGCTCACAGTGGTCTGGAGAAGTCTGCATGGAGACTGCTGAGTAAGGGCCCATCTCTAACCTGGCGCAGGCCATGTGAATTTGGTTAAAAGTCCCATGCTTGAAGTACGGACTTGAAAACAAGATGTTTCCTAAACCTTGCTTATAAATCCATAGAATAAGATAAATACAGTCCAGGGGCACCTGGGTGGCCCAGTTGGTTAAGCGTCCGACTTCGGCTCAGGTCATGATCTCACGGTCCCCGGGCTTGAACCCTGCGTCAGGCTCCGTGCTGACAGCTCAGAGCCTGAAGCCTGCTTCAGATTCTGTGTCTCCCTCTCTCTGCCCCTCCCCCATTCATGCTCTGTCTCTCTCTGACTCTCAAAAATAAATAAAAGTTAAAAATAAAATTAAAAGGGGCGCCTGGGTGGCTTAGTCGGTTGGGCGTCCGACTTTCGCTTAGGTCATGATCTCTCGGTCCGTGGGTTCAAGCCCCGCGTCGGGCTCTGTGCTGACTGCCAGCTCAGAGCCTGGAGCCTGTTTCAGTCTGTGACTCCCTCTCTCTCTGACCCTCCCCTACTCACGCTGCCTCTCTCTCTCTCCTAAAAATAAATTAAAATATTTTAAAAAAATAAATAAAAAAAAATTTAAAAAAAAAGATAAATACAGTCCATTTTACATAGCCGGCTCAAGTGGATAGACATATAAAGCTTAAATGCTTTTCTTCTAGATTAGAGTCTTTCTACTTCGTTCTCATATAGTTTATTTCTGAATATGCTGTTAAGAATTCTGAATTCTCAGAATGAAACCACATCACAAAAACTCATATTTTCATAAACATAAACATACAATGTTTAGTTCTGGCTCCGCTACTCCTTTTAAGTTAAAACTACTTTAAAGTCTCAATACCTATGATTTTATGAATGATCAATATTTACATACCGTTACAAGTAGATTTAAAAATTATATGCAGGGGGCGCCTGAGTGACACAATCGACTGAGTATCTGACTTCGGCTCAGGTTGTGATCTCACGGTTCATGAGTTTGAGCCCTGAATAGGGCTCTGCACTGTCAGCACATGGTCCTGTTTGGGTCTTCTGTCCCCTCCCCCGCTGGTTTTGGTTTCTCTCTCTCTCTCAAAATAAATAAACTTAAATAAAAACTGTATGCATACATAAATTCACATATGAGAGAGAGAAGGGAGGGAGGGAGAGGGAGAGACCAAGTCTGGACTGAGTAGAAGAAAGGCAAATACTGAGGATTTAGCACCCCCAAGTGGCCATTTGTGGTACTTCTTTCTCATTCACACCTCAAATCTAAGCTTACCCGACAAAATGTCAAATTCTGGTTTGCCCAAAACTGCTGGTTCCATTCTTGCGTTTCTTGTCTTAATTTTCGTAGCTTTTGTTCCAATGGTGATTCATTTTCGGGGACATAAAAGTGAACAGGTCGAAGGTTTGAATGTTTGTCTGGGGGTCCTATCCAATCATGGCAAGATTTTCTTGGAGGCTGGAATCCTGAGACCTTCAACAAAATGCACAGGGTGAGCATAAACTAGGCAACCCCTCGTACTGTAAAATGCACAGTAGATTCATTAAAGTCCCTCAAAGCTTCCTCTTTTTAAGGCCATGTGACAAAGAACATCCAAATTAAAAGAACTATAATAAATATTAACGGGAACACTATAGGGACCATGTTCAACAACAGCACTGGAATAATTCAACATCCTAATGCAAAACCAGCATTTCAACCTGTCCTTTGGGCTGTATGCAAAAGTAACTCAAAATGAATCGAAAACCTGAATATAAAATCTAAAACTATAAAACTTGTAAGACAGCAGAAAATTTGCACAATTTTAGACTAGGCAAAGATTATTTAGATACAACACCAAAAGTACAATACATTAAATAAAAAAGATAAACCACAGACTGGGAGAAAATATATGCAAATCCAAAAAAGGACTTGTTCCCAGAATATATAAAAAAACCTCTCAAAACTCAATAATAAGAAAACAGACGATCCATTTTAAAAATGGGCAAAGTAGCCAAAGAAAACTTTCTCCAGGGGCACCTGGGTGGCTCAGTCGGTTAAGCATCAGACTTCGGCTCAGGTCATGATCTCACGGTCTGTGGGTTCGAGCCCCATGTCAGGCTCTGTGCTGACAGCTTAGAGCCTGGATCCTGTTTCAGATTCTGTGTCTCCCTCTCTCTCTCTCTCTCTGCCCCTCCCCAGCTCATGCTCTCTCTGTCTGTCTCAGAAATAAATAAACGTTTAAAAAAAAAAAAGAAAACTTTCTCCAAAGAAGACATATGCATGTCAAGTAAGCACATAAAAGCTGCTGGCCATCCTAAGTCACTGGGAAATACAAACCCTCAATGAGATACCGCCTCACACCTTTTCAAACGGCTAAACTAGCCCACAAAGCCATCTGACAGTAGCAAGTGCTGTCCGTGTCCTGCTGAGTGTTCTCACTGCGGCTTCCTGTCCGCGCCGCGGCCACTCTTGTGGGCACGAAGTGGTGTCTCTTTGTGGCTCTTTCTCAGACTTCTGCCACGGCCTGGCATTGCTAGCCAGCCCCTGGCTGCAAGTGACTGGTGAGTGTCCTTCAGACACAAAGGCTACTTGGTATTAAGGACAGAATAAACATGAACAAGCCCTATTTGTCAATGACAGGAGTGATTTCTTTGCTGCGTTCGAATACAAGAAGAGTATTTCCTCAATCTAGGGCTATTCACCATGTAACGGTGTTGACTTAACCTGTATTACTAACATCCTCTCCTTAGGTGTTGACTTAACCTGTATTACTAACATCTTCTCCTTCGCCTCCCTAAGGCAAGGCAATCAACAAAATAATAAATCAACCCCCATTCAGCACATTTGCAAATTTCCATGGTGCAATTAAGTCCACTGCGGACAATTTCAAGTGGTATCCCATTATATGGTTTTCCCACCAGGTAGGTATAATAGTCGTAAATAACCTTGAAAGCAGAGATAGCTGTAAAATATAGTAAAATAAACAGAAGTGAAACAGTCTAAATATGTATTATCTTTGTTGTTAATATAATTTATTTCAGTATATAATTTTTCGTAACAGCTGTTTATTAGCAAACTTGTTGAAAATGCAGTGGGGCACCTGGGTGGCTTGGTCGGTTAGGTGTCCAATTCTTGATTTTGTCTCAGGTCATGATCTCACGGGTTCATGAGACCGAGCCCAGCAGTGAGCCTGCTTGGGATTCTCTGCATACGCTCCCTCTCAAAAATAAATAAAATAAAAACTTAAGAAACCAATGTAGCAAGCGGCTCTCTTCACTGCAGGCTGTCAGTGCTGGCTGGGACACACCAGGACACACTCCCCACTCTGGACCCCATCACAAATGCACTGACCCTGTCACCTCAATTCCCTACTGCTTTTCAAAGGGTTCCTAACACATTCCACACCACTTTACCCAAGTTATTAGGGATGTTTTGTGGAAATGGCGGTCAAAAAGTAGTTTAAACATTTATAGTTTTGAACCAGAGGCAAGGCAAAGCTTCCCCCCACCCCCAGCCCCTGGGGTTTACAGCTGGACTGGGAGGGAACTGACCGCAGACTAAGCCACAGAGGAAAGGCCAGGTGTCACGCAGGCACGGCCCCACCGGGAAACGGAGACCCACAGGGCAGCCCAGAGCTTACATACCACGCCGGACGAGGGGCATCAACTGTGGAAAACAACGGAAACATATGGGGAGACCAGAGGGGGGCAGGAATTACTCCAATCAAGGTTCGTTCCTATACATTTCTTTCTATTCCTGGTAGTGAGAATGGTTCTTTTCTCCAGGAGCTTCCTCTCCGGCCTCTGGGCAGGGAAGGGAGAGGACCACCCCGTCTGCCTGTTTCCCCAGTGCCTTCAGCTCCGATCACCCTCACACCAGTGGCCGAGCGCGCCACTCTCTACCCGGCGCCACTCTCAAGAGACCTACAGCTTCGATGGTTTAAGCACCTAAAATGGTTTTGTTTTTCTACAAATATTAATGAGAAAACAGATGAAACCAAAAAGAACTTCCAAACTTATCAACATAATGAAAAAGTTTGTTTCCTATAATGCCTTCTAGAAGCAAGCAAACACAGTGTAGGTATGTTAGAAAAGTAGCGAGAATGTTTTTAAAGAAAACATTTCTAAAGGTCTCCGTAAGCAGTTTTTGCCCTAAGAGCTCCGTCCGATCCGCCTCCTTTTCCGGGCAGCGTCTGTCAGCGGGTGCTGCTGCTTCCTGCAACACTTGACCTTTTTTATCCCCTTCAGGCTTCTGCAGGAAGGCGCTGGAATTAAAACGCTCCACCTGTTTCAAGTTAATTTATCTCACGGTCACTGCCAACACTTTCATTTCCATCCCTTACTCTCACAGCAGCAGAGGCGAGGACCCACAGTGATCAAAATTAAAGCGTCACACACTGTCCTTTGAGAAGCCTTCTCCGTAGTTGGAGGAATAAGCTTCGCAGAATTCGGGCGCCCCCACTCCAGGGCCTGAAGGACTCAGGCGGCTGCAGCAACCCGTCCCCTCTCCCCCCAGCCCGGCTCGGTCCCCACCACCGGTCTCTGATGGGCTAGTCAGGGCAGCCACCGCCTCAGGCCTGCTCCCTCCCTGCCTACTCACACCCACCCCTTCTAGAAGCAATCTCTCCACAGCCCTGACCTAACGCGCTACCCCTTCCCTTAGCATCTTCCTGGGCAATTACTCATCACCCTCAAGTGACACTCGATCCCTGTCCTGCGCTGTGGCAGCCCGGGCCGCCGCCACCCCAATCTCTCCTTTTCCTCCACCCACAGGAGGCTCCTTTAACGACAGGCCTCTGTCCTTCCTCAGCCTGCCTGCGCTCCCCCCGCACCCTCACGCTCCCCCCGCACCCTCACAGACTCGGGTTCAAGGGCACATCTCCACGTGCCCCCGAGGCTCCTCAGGGCACCCGCACAGGTCTGCATCTCCCAGGAGCCTTCGAGCCTGGGGCGGCAGGACCGCACGTGCTGGAGGAATGTTCTTCCCAGTCCTAATCTTTCCTGTGCACTCTGTGTATGCAAGAAATCCACTTCAACTTCAAAAAGCCCAAGTTACAGGCACTGCTTGGTGGACGGACACCTAACACGCTAGTCACGGCAATTACGGCAGAGGTGGCGCCAGAACGCTCAGAAGCTGCGAGCGCGCCAAACACCATCGCTGTCCAGAGTGTTCTTCATTCTGTGTTCTTGAGGGTCCGTAACTGCGAGCTCCCGACCAGTTTCCAGGTTCCCCGGCTGCGCGGTGCCCTGAGGAAGACCGGGGAGGCGCGCGCGTGGGCGGGCGGAGGGCCGAGCTCCTGGCCGGCGGACCCGAAGGGACAGGGGACAAGTCCAGGCACATAGGTCACGTCGGTGTGTCCTGCTGCATCCACCGATGTGCTCACTACCACTTCCATCCGCACCCGCTTCCTCTCAGACTCAGATGTCCTTGGACTCGATGTCGCTTCTGTCCGGCACTTCTGAAGTGTCTCTCCCGCAAAGCTGGACCAGAAGAAGCAGAGCCAAGGTGGAAAGTTCCAGACGAAGGGCCAGCAAGTCCACAAAGGGGACTGAATTGTTCCTTCCTGTGTGACAGCGACAGGGCCCAGCCGGCACAGACACCTGAGCTGCTTATCTGAGACCTGAAACTGCTACTTGTCATCAAATACTGACTTGATACTAGACTGAACGATCGTTTTCAGAAAGAGGACTGCAATATGTCCATCTTTAATATTGCATCCATCATTCTATTTACTTATTTATCTATTTATTTTGAGAGAGATGGAGAGAGCGAGCAGGGGAGAGGCAGAGAATCCCTCACTGACAGCGCAGAGCCCAACACAGGGCACGAACTCATGAACTGTGAGATCATGACCGGAGCTTAACCAAATGAGCCACCCAGGTGCCCCTTTCATGCATCATTCTAACAATATATGATCTCTACATTTTCCTTTTTTTTTTCCTCTCAAAAAAGGCTTCTTAAAAAAAAAACCCACTTTTCCACAAGTATTTCTGGATTTCTGCCCCAAAGCCTTTAGTCTTAGAAACTAAAGGTGATTCACACACAGGGACCCAGCGAATGGAAACAGCCAGCCCGCCCAGGCTCACCCCACAGGCCTCCAGCCCAAGATGGGGGCTCTTCCCCTCCCCCAAGCCGACTGAGGACGCTGAAGAATAGTAACAAGGGGACAAAAGGGCAGGTTTCATCCCCACGTGTCCCACCAGGTCACCACGCTCCAGAACTACACCCCAGTCTCCTCTTGCAGGTGCCTTATCGGGAAGCTTTTAAAGGAGCCACATCCCAAGGAGCACATGCACCCCAATGTTCACAGCAGCACTCTCCACAATAGCCAAATCATGGAAAGAGCCTAAGTGTCCATCAGCTGATGAATGGATCAAGAAGATGTGGTTTATCTATACGATGGAATCCTACATGGCGATGAGAAAGAATGACATCTGGCCACGTGTAGCAACATGGATGGAACTCGAGGATATTATGTAAGTCAGGTATTA